GGAAAAGGATGGCTGTCTCAGGGAGACTCTTTCCCTACATTGGACCTAGTCTAAAGTTCAATAACTGAGTTGTTATTTCCAGATAGCAACCAAGACCACCTTGTTCCTGCTGTCCACCTGGGTAGCCCCTGTGCAGGTCCCCAGGAGGCTTATAGAACAGGGAATCAATCTCATCCATAGCTCCCAGCTCTACTCAGGGATTCCCTGGGCTGCCCACTGGTTCTTGGAAGGAGACCAAAGCCAGCTCAGGACTATCTACTCTCTTGTGGCCACATTAGCATTTCAGGGTTCTCTGTCCTTGGATTTTTCTGGGTCCTGTGAAGCAGGGAGAGTGTTTTTATATCTTGGGCTGATTTAACACTTCAGTTTGTCCTAGGAGGAGCTTTTGTTTGACCTCTTTTATCATGAAGTTCAGAAGTCAGTCAGATACCATGTCTGTTTTTCTGTTTTCCTAAGTACAAGAGGGAGAAAGGTAAATTTTATCTTAGGGAGAGCTACAATTCTTTTTTTTTTTTTGGAACAAATCACCCCTGCATTTTCTGCTTTTGCATTTTCTGCTTAGTGTACACATTCCTTTGGTGTTGTGTTCAGCAAAAGGGATACCAGCTATCTGCCTGGGACTTGGTTCCTAGACTGTTAAGCCTCTCTACCCATCTGTCTGTGTCCTTGCAGCTAAAATATTATGGAGCCAGGACCTGAGATAACATCTATTTCCTAGCAGTTGGCCTGCACAGAGGCTCTGGCAGGCCCAATGTTGGTGCCTAAGGGGTTGGATGGGGCTACCAGATCCCAGGCAAGCTCAGAGCCAGACTCCGCTGGGGTAGAAGCTTTGGGGGTGCCTCACCCTGGTGCTGCCTCTCTGGGGCATCCAGAACTCTGCAGCCTGACTGGCATTTCCTGTGCTGGAAGGACTGCCAAGGGCCCAGGTGCTCCTATAAGATTGTCACTTATATGGGTGTGCCTCCCAGAGAGTGGAACAGGGACCTTCAAGCTCAAGAGGCATATGGAGGGCTCTGTAAAACTGGGCTTTTGTGGGCCTGTGTTAATGCTTTTATTTTTGCTTCCTCTACCATTTTGATTTTGAATGAGAAAGCCTATCCTGTGATTAAGCTAATCTCATAGCAGTTATTTCTCTGTGGAAAACGCTGGTGCACTGGAAGTCAGAGAATGGAGCCTCCTGAAACACATGGAAAATTAGATTCTAGGTTCACAGGGTATAGGATGGTAACTTCTGGTGTGGGTGGGCAGACACCCTGGTTTTAGGTTTGTTTTTGTTGTTGTTGTTGTTGTTTTAATACTTTTTTTTAAAGAGAGAGTGACAGAGAGAGTTTTTTTTTTTTTAATATTTATTTTTTAGTTCTCGGTGGACACAACATCTTTGTTTGTATGTGGTGCTGAGGATCGAACCCGGGCCGCATGCATGCCAGGCGAGCGCGCTACTGCTTGAGCCACATCCCCAGCCCTTGTTGTTGTTTTTAATATTTATTTTTTTAGGTGTATATGGACACAATGCCTTTATTTTTATGTGGTGCTGAGAATCAAACCCAGGTCCTGCACATGCTAGGTGAGCGCTCTACCACTGAGCCACAATCCCAGCCCCTCCCCCCCTTTTTTTTGGCATGTTTATGTGGTACTGGGAGTTGAAACAAGGGCCTTGTGCATGCTCTACCACTGAGCTATACCCCAGGATCTTTTTTTTTTTTTTTAGTATTTTTTTAGTTGTCAGTGAACCTTTTATTTTATTAATTTATATGTGGTGCTGAGAATCAAACCCAGTGCCTTACACATGCTAGGCAAGTGCTCTACCAGTGAGCTACAACCCCACCCCCCTAGGGTCTTTTTAATAAAGTGATAAGTCCACGGTGTCCAGCTTCCTGCCTTCAGGTCTGTTGATCTGGTTCCTTGACTTCTACCAGGACTACCATACCATGGGTAGCCATGGCCTGGACTGGTAACTCCACCTCTGTAGCAGTCTTGGCCCCCTGGTCTTCATCTGTCCTCCAGTCCTTTCCAGTGGCCAGTGGAAATTGATTCATAGTTACTCTTCTTGTGGAACTTTCTATTCCTCATGATCTGAAGAATTCTTTGTCTATATCCATTTTTGCCCCAGAATTTTCTTACTTTAGTTGGTGTGAAGGGAATTCTCTTGAGTTCTCATATTCTGCATTCTTCAAAGAATAAACATTTTCATTATTTGATCTATTGGGGGAAGAGATGGAATAAAAACCAATACTAACAAATCATTACTCATAAGACATGAGGCCCAAAGTTACTCTCCATTTAAGCAGGAAGTAAGCTTTCATTGCGAGATTTCAGCCACGTAAGTATGGTCATGGAGTCTCATTTAGGAGTATGTCTGACTGACATCTGTCTTCCCCCTATATTTGCCTTCAGTTGGCAATTTAGAGATGCAGCCTGAGAGCTGAGGGCACTCATGAAGTAGTAACTTCTCCCCACTGCTTGTGGCTGTTGGAGTAGGTAGGTGGCCCAGGGTGCTGAGAGGACTCCAAGGGAGGATCTGGGGATCCAGTTTCCCCATCCACCTGTCTCCTCCATTTAGCTTCCTGTGCAGAAGGTCTAGGAAACACACATGGACTGCAGAAACAGAAAAAATTTTTGCTAGAATCAGGAGACCACATTGTTTTATGCTCAACAGTGTGGTAGGAGGGCCCAGAGATTGGCCCAACCCATTGTCCTGCAGACTATAGATTGCAGCTGGCCCACTCCCCAAGGAGTGTTAGTAAGACACTATAGGGGCCAATATAGGGGCCACATTTGTTTTGTTTCTCTAGTGCTGCATGGCTTGGCAAAATGCAGGAGTCCCATTGCATGGGCACTGCTAGAAGCAGGGAACAAAGAACATTGCATGTTGAGCACTGTTGCACTTTCCCAACTTCAGTCATGGATTTATGCCAATATATCCATGGTAACTGGATTTGTTTGTAGTTTAAGTAACGCATAATTTCATATCTTAAAGAAAGGCTTATACCACTAAACTCAGAAAGTCAAGGGTCACATATTTTCTCTCATATGGGAAGCTGGAGAGGAAAAAGGAAAAGAAAGGTTAGGGTGGGAACTCATGAAAATCAAAAGGAGATCAGTAGCTAGGCACAGTGGTGCACACGTGTAATCCCAGCAGCTCAGGAGGCTGAGGCAGGAGGATCAAGAGTTCAAAGGCAACCAGCAAAAGCAAGGTGCTAAGCAACTCAGTGAGACCCTGTCTCTAAATAAAATACAAAATAGGGCCGGGGTTGTGGCTCAGTGGCCGAGTACCCCTGAGTTCAGTCCCCAGTTCCTGCCCCATAAAAATGGATATCAGTAGAGCAGAGGAAAGAGACCAGAGGGGAGAAGTAAGGGAGGGAACAGGGAAATACTGGGGAATTATATTGGCCAGATTATATTGTTATATTGTGTGCATGTATGAATATTTAACAACAAATCTCACCACTATGTACAACTACAATGTATCAGTAAAAAAAAAAAAAGCGGGGGGGTGGGGAACCAGCTTGTAACCTTTCACTATATACATCAAATCCAGAAAGAGTTAGGTTTTGTAACTTTGGTTATGTGTATTACACCTATGGGTGAGTCTACATTCATATGGATGTACATTTGTGCCCCTGTGTCTATTGCTTAGGCATTGCTGACCCTGTGTGGGGCCTGGAATGCATTTCTGCTCTCCTGATCTGTGAAAATTCCAGGGTCTTCTCTTACCTTCTTTATACTCTAAGTGTGAATGTGTAACAAGCCAGGACCACCTTGTACCCAGCCAGTCAGTGTGGTTCTGTTCCCAGATCCTATGAAGAAGCTGCCTGCCAGATGCTTCCCGCAGGGCACCTATAGAAGTATTCCAAGGGATACATGCTTTTTGAAATGGAATTATATCATTAGTACCTGCCAGGATTAATGCTGACATTAGGCTTATCCATCCTTACATCATCTCCTCTTGTTCAAAGACTGAAGAGGTGATCTGTCGAGCCCACCCATGCGTAGCCACCCTGGCTGGGAATTCTCATTCTCTGTTGGGTTCTGAGCCTGCTCCTGAGTATGTGCATGCATATGTCTATGTGATTTTGTACACATGTGTGCATGTAAGTAAGTACACATATATAAGCATGTTTACAAGGGTGTTATGTGATGCATATGTGCACATGCCAGTTATCACATGTGTGCATGTTCACATGTTGTGCAGGTTAGGTATATGTGTGCATGTGAATTGCATGAGATTGTGTACACCTGTGTGTCAGTATGTATGTGTGCATGTGTATGTGAGTATGTGTGTGTGCACATACCTACGGAATGTGAAGTTGACCACAGGAGAGGATCTAAACTACTAGAGCAAACATTTCCAGTGAGTCTCAGCATCCTGTCCTGCCTCCCAGCAACCTGGGTACCCTTTGTCTTTGGCTCTGGAAAGCTGACTGTCCTGGCTCTGGGCCCAGGTATGGTAGGCTGGACAGGACGACATAGGCTTTCCAGCCTTGCCTTCTGTGGTCTAAGAGTATTCTGTTCACAGAATATGCTTCCCCAAGAACTCCCCACAGTCTGGTCCCCTTACTGCCTGCAAAGCATGTCCCTGCTTCCACCCTGGCCCCAGGAGGCTCCAGAGGCCTCAAGACAGAACTCATTTTAGGGCAGAAGAAAAACTGTGCTTCTCCTGAGGGATGTTTCTCAGCACATCCACAGAATGCTGGTGCTGCCCAGTGCCTTTCATAGGACAGGTGCTGTTTGTCACTGACCACATACCCTTCACCACCAGGCAATTTGCTGGTTCAATAACACTGTTTGTTGTATTGTATTTCACAGCCATAGCCTCTGGGAAGTGGGCTTTGTACCTCAGTATGAACTATTTGAATAGTCAGCCTCAGCATTCATTAGCTGAGCGCCTGGCATGAAGGCTAAAGGGCTCTTCTGTCCCACCCTTGGGATGACTGCTTGTGTGCCCATGTGGGCCACACAGGTTCTCACATGCTTTTTCTCTCTGTCCATTTCTCTAACAGGTTGGTGGTTGGGGCCAGCTGTATCCTTTGCTAGTATGCAGTTTTGTCTTTGGGACATGGACTTTTATTCTCCTGAGTTCTCCTGATGGCTCTTCTTCCCAGTGGTCATTTTGCTACCTCAGACTAGATGCTTACTGAGCCTCTCAGGGGTAAGGTCTGTGCCCTCAGAGAAGGACAATTTGAAGTTTACCTTCTGGGGCTAGGGCTTCCTGGAGACTTCCTGAGCCACACACTGAGCCAGTTGAGCCAGCTGGGGCATCTGGACACGACTGTGAGGCACCAAGCATTCCTCCCTTGAGAATAGCCCTGCTCTGGCCTCATTCCTTCAGAAGGAGCAGTTAAACCAGAGAGGGTCAAGACAGGAACCCCAGAGGGAGCCCAGGGTCAGATGATCGCTTTGGAACTTTATAGCTGAAAATACAGGTCAAAGATAGCAGCTTTGTATCTTCCACCCATGATATTCTTCTTCCCTGTGCTTGGCCAGCAGCTCTCCACCTCTATAGACACCCCCCACCCCACCCCCAAATGCAGGCCTATCCCTAGAGGCTGAGATTAAACTCCAAAGCCAAGACAGATAACTTGTAGAGGCACAGGCCAACTTAGTCCTTGGGTGTATTGGAAGGGCTTAAAGTTCCAGCTAGCAAAGCCCTTACCCCCTAGTCCATGCACTTGAGACTGGGGCTGGCAATGGATATGTGGGGGTGTGGGCTGCTTGAGCAGGAGCCTGGAGTCTTGCCTCCTGTTTTCTGGAGTCATGATTTCTTAGTATTTCTTAGCCTGGTACTCACAGATGTGGCACTGGAGTGTGCTGGCTTCCTCACTGGGATTGGACTGGACACCACTGTCATGATGCGCAGTATCCCCCTTCGGGGCTTTGACCAGGTAGTACAAGTAGCTCTGGCTCCTGCCTTACCATTGTGCTCTCCCACGGGGCCTGAATTCCCTTCTGCTCCCTGCCCCTAGGCAGGTACAGTTGTGGACTTGGAATAAAGTCTGTATCTTTAGAAACAGGTCCTTGAATTGAACAAGGGAATTGTTCCAGAAAATATAAAAATGCATGTGCTAGAACATAGAAAGAAGGATTTGGTGCATGGAGTGTACACACAGCTGCACATACATTCTTCTTACCAGGCTGAGGGGACATTTGTGGGCACACCAAGTCCAGCTTCAGGGACCATCAGTTTGGGTCACTCTTTTCATATGTCCCATTAGTAAGTGGTGGGCATATATCACAGAAGCACTATCCCCACCTCAGAGACCTTCAACTCCTTGGTCCTTCCTTGCTGAACCCTTTTGGGGTCTGCATCTCGCTGCCACATAGTCTTCATGGAATGTCTTCTTATGCTTCACAGCAAATGTCTTCTTTGGTCATGGAGCACATGGAGTCTCACGGCACCCAATTCCTGAGGGGTTGCATCCCCACCTGCATCAAGAAGCTTCCAGATGGCCAACTCCAGGTTACCTGGGAGGACCGCACCTCTGGCAAGAAGGACACAGGCATCTTTGACACTGTCCTGTGGGCCATAGGTAAGGGGATGTTGAGCCACACACATGCTGTCTCTGGTTGCCCTGAGGTCCATGGAAACTAACAGAACCTTGTCCTTTGGAACAGAAATCTTTACCATTCTATCCCTTTGTTTTCCAATGTTGGAACCATTCTATTTGTTCCAAGGAAGGTTGGCTGCTGCCTGGTGCCCCTCATGGGCCTTTCATTGTAAAAGCCTGTAGATACATTATCCATTTCTGGCCATCCCGGGCACAATGTGCCTCTGTCTTTTTTCTTCTACCCTGTCATGTTCTAGAAACACAAATCAAAAAAGAGACCCAGCTGTTCTCAGCCAATTATAATCATTTAGTAAAGATAATGAGTCCTCCAGCTTCCATGTCCTCTGATAGAATGTTCATTAAAGTTTCAGTATATAAATCCTATATACTTCCTATGAGGCTTAAGCCTTTTTTTTTCCCTTTCACAAAATAGATGGTTTTTATTTTAGTTTCAAACTATAACATGATAACTTAAAATTTACCTTTCTTTATGTGTGTGGTGATGAGGATTGAATCTAGGCAAGCACTGCTAGGTAAGCATTTCACCCCTCAGCTAAATGCCCAACCTTATTCACAGCTTTAACCATTAAATGTCTGATACAACAACATTGAATACATTCACATTGTTGTGCAACCATCACTACCATCCATATCCAGAACTTTTTCATTATCTTAAAACTGAAACTCCATCCTCATTAAACAATAATTCCTCATTCTTCCATCCCTCCAATCCCTTGGCAACCACCATTCTCCTTTCTGTTTCTATGAATTTGATGACTCTAGGTTTCTCACATAGGCGGGAACATACAGCATGTGTCTTTTTGTGCCTGGCCTGTTTCACTTAGCATAATGTCTTCAAGGTTTATCCATGTTGTAGCATGTGACAGAATTCCCTTTGTTGGGGGGAGGGTACCGGGAATTGAACTCAGGGGCACTCGACCACTAAGCCACATCCCCAGCCCTATTTTGTATTTTATTTAGAGACAAGGTCTCACTGAGTTGCTTAGCACCTTGCTTTTTGCTGAGGCTGGCTTTGGACTCACAATCCTCCTGCCTCAGCCTCCTGAGTCACTGGGATTACAGGTGTGTGTCACTGTGCCTGGCTTTTCCTTCTTTTTTAAGGTTGAACAATTTTGTTTATCCATTCGTTTCCTGAGAGACACTTGGGTTGCTTCTACCTTTGGATTCTTATGAGTAGTGTTGCTATGAACATGGCTGTCTACTTTTGTTTATAGTTGTTTATAACATATAACAATGATACAGGGGCTGCAAATGTAGCTAGGCAGAACATTTGTCTAGTATGTGGGAGGCCCTGGGTTTGACCCCCAGTACTGAAAAAAAAAAAAAAAACAACAGATTTTTTTTTTCCAGCTCTAACTGGGCTTTTCATGTCTTCTTATGCTTCCATTGGGCAGCTTTGGGTCCTATAAATCATCACATGCTAGGATCAGGATCTCACTGGACTTTCCAGAAGTCTTGGTGTGCAGGTTTCCAAAGGCAGCATCCAGTGATTGGGCAGAGGCATGGCTGGGGAGGTCTTTCCAGCAGGCGTGGCCTGGCCACCTACTCCCTGTGAGTGATGGGTCTAGTTTTTCATGAGGATGAAGGTTGAACAGATGTGACTGTATATAAGTAGCTCATTGCTGACCTTGCTAAACACATAGCCTCCCTGGCTGTGCACCTAGGGAAAAGGGTGAAGAGTATGGATGCAGCCAGAGGAGATTCCTGCCCAGAGCCTGGGTGAGGGTGACTATGGAGGGACTGCCCAGAACCTAGTGGGGGGAGCAGAAAGCTCAGATGCCATTTGAGTCATATTCATGCTGGGATTAGGGTACCACAGCTACTATGAATGGGCTCCCTGGAGGAGGACAGCAGGCTGTCCCCCCACCTCACCCTCTAAATGGAAATTGAGCCCAGGGATACTTTACCACTAAGCCCTTTTTATTTTGAGACATGGGCTTGCTAAATTACTCAGACTGGCCTCAAACTTGCAATCCTCCTGCCTTAGCCTCCTGAGTAACTAGATTATAGGTGTGTGCCACTGTACCTGGTCAGGGCTGCAGGTTCTTGTTGATCAGAGTCATAGAATGCATGCTGTTTTCTCTATGAGGACATCCCTACCCACCTCAATATGAGCACCTTATAGTTTGGCTTCTGGTTTTCCTAACTGTCCTGTCAACTTGTACATTGACAGAATTGTCAAGTTGTTGCTTTCTCCCATTATTTCTGGTTCTCTGGAGTCACTGTGCTGAGCCTTGTCTGTGTCCCCCTGATGTGAGCCAGAGGGCTTAGAACTCAGGTCACTCTCAGAAGCCTCATGAAACTGGTGTTTACCAAGTAGCCCAAGAGGCTGTTCCATCAGTGCTTGTTAAGGCTGATTTATTTAACCAGGGTCCCAGCATCCGCTAAGATGGGGGTCCCGAAGCAGCCTGGCTGCTTCTGGGGGAAAAAAAAAAGTTTCTCCTGAATTGTTTAGAATACATGGAAATCTAAACAACAACAACAACAAAAAAAAAAAAAAAATGAAGGAGACAGACCTTCCACTTGTACATAGTGAACACAAGAGCAGATTGTATAAGGAGGGATCTGAAATGCCCTGGAATGAATTCAGTACTTCTTGACCCAGAGTTGACCAGTTACCAAAGGAAATGTTTTTGGTCAAATTGTAGAAGTAAAATTTAAGTAAATTCAGTATAATGACCACCACAAAGATTAGGTGTATCTTTTGGAGCCAAAAGTGTTAAACTTCATTCTAATCAGTGAGATAGCTAGTTTCTTGTTTCCTACTCACTCCCCAACCTTCCCCTTTGTCTTCTGTACTCCTACCATTGGCACACAGAACCCTTATCTCACCTTTGAATGGAGGGGTGGGCCATGCAGCCAGATGCTGTTGGATGGCAGTGGCTCTAGAGAGCCAAGGACCTTGCCTTTGGAAAATCCCCGGTCCTTCCAACTTCAAGGAGGTCCCTGGCAGGAAAAAAGTAAGGCCCCTGCCGGGCAGAGTTGCCATGGTACATACACACACCCTCCCCCACTATTCTATTTTTTGTATTTTCAAAAAGAGCATCCCCCAGACAGTCTGCCTGGTGTGATTGATGCTGGGGATGGAAGCTTTTCACAGTCCTTGGCCTTTGACCTTGCTTCCCCAGGGCTGTGGCAGTGGCGGCAGCAGTTTCTGGCACGCCTTCTGGGGAGGAGGGGGGTGGTACAGGCATGTGCTGACTTTGCTGCTCCCTCTGAGCCAGGTTTTGTAAACATTCAGGAGCCACTTCCCAGTTTAACAACTGGTAATCTTTTCTCTGGTTTGCACTGATAAGCCTTTAAACAAGAATTATTTCTACTTGTAATAAAGGATGATCCGTTCCAGAAGGTTAAAGTAAAATGCCTTGGGGGGCTGCATATCTGGCACCACTAGCATCTCCTTGGATGGTGCTTCTAGTCCTGAGCAGTAAGTATTGTGTCCAAATAAGCTGGGCTTTGGTGGGTGTTTAAAAAACAGAAAAGGGAAGGATGCCCTTTTTGCCTCCAAGAACACATATAAAAGGGGCCCAGATGCTGCTGTGGACCTGCCCAGTGGCTTGTGTCCTGCAGCCCTTGAGGACAATGAATGTTGGCATCACGAAGTGGGTGCTACAAGTCTGGAAGCCGAAGAGGACTCAGCCTCTTCCTCGGCGCAGCCTTGATCTCCACGTGGTGGATTAAACACATTAGCAGTTAAAGCAGTTAATTGCTGTGCAGGGGGCCCCCTCATTGTTTGTCTGTGAATCACCCGCCCACACCAGGTGTCTCAGATAATAGACTGGGAACTTCAGCGAGGAGGATTTCCTGTCTGCAGATGTGCCGATTACAGCGCTGAGTGAAGACAGTCAGCCTGTGCACAGGCTGCTGCGGGCTCGAATTCGCCTGTCAAGTTAACCAGTTGTGGCCTGAATTCACAGCTGTCTGGGGAGAGGGACCAGGATGGGCATCGCAGCAGATGCCTTCACAGTGTAGACATGTCTAAGCTCTAGTTGAACTTTGGGTATTAAAGAAGGGAAAGAATGATTCTCGAGTTCAGTCTTGGGAAAACCCAGACCTGAGATTGTTGTGTGCCTTTCAACATCCCAGGTCCCTCTGGATGATTCTTTGTCCCTTTTTTAGAAAGATGATGAAGACTCTGGTAAGTCCATCTCTGCCAAGGAGTCCTGCTGTAGTGGAAGAGCCAGCATGTAACAGAGGGACCTTGTTGCATCTGTGGGGTCTGCAGCCTGGATGGCCTTTGTTTCTGCTATCCTTCATGCCTGGGAGGGCAGTGGGGCCTGCCTGGAGAACTTTTCAAGAGTGGCAGGTGAGGGCTAGGGCCGTAGCTCAGTGGCAGAGCGCTTGTCTAGCATGTATAAGAAGCTAGGTTTGATCCTTAGCACCACATAAAAAAATAATAAATAAAATAAAGCATTCTGTCCATCTATAACTACAAAAAAAAAAAAAGTGGCAGATGAGACCTAGGGGAAGAATCAGCCTGATTCTCACCTGCAGCCACTGAGGCCCTTTTTCAGCCTTTGTCTTAGACAACTTAGTGTCATAGACCCACTTCTGATTCTCGGAAATGGTGTGAGGGCAGCCAGAAAGCCCTGCCTGGCTCTTGGGCATTGGAGCTTGGCTTCTCCACTCTTATCTGACCACTGTGTGAAGGCTGCCACAGGAGCTGCCCCATGTACAGATACTTCACCCCACATAGCATGTGCACTTGACCCATGACCAAGAAAGCTGGGGAGACCATGATGAGGATCCCTCAGTGTCCAAGAAGGGTACACATTGGCCCAGAGGGGCTATAGCCTGGGTCTTCTCCACCCAGGACTGCTTTCTTGTATTTACACAGTGGCCCCGCCATCATAGACACAGTCCATGCGATTCCCTGCAGAGTGCTCCTCCCCCTGTAGAATGCCAGGCAGCAAGAGAGGAGATCAAAGGCTAAACAAAACTGAATTCCCCAAGTCTGGGAA